ATCCACTTATACTTTTTTAGTTATTTCAAAATGTACAATTAAATTATTATTGACTGTAGTTATCCTGTTGTGCTATCAAATAGTAGGTCTTATTTATTCTATTTTTTTTGTACACATTAGCCATTCGTACCTCCCCCGGCATTGCCCAACTACCCTTCCCAGCCTCTGGTAACCATCCTTCTACTCTCTGTGTCCATGAGTTCAATTGTTTTGATTTTTTGATCCCACAAATAAGTGAGAACATGTGATTTTTTTTTTTCTGTACCTGAATTATTTCACTTAATGATTTCCAAGGCTGGGCATGGTGGCTCACTCCTGTAATCCCAGCACTTTGGGAGACCAAGGTGGGCAGATTATTTGAGGTCAGAAGTTCTAGACTACCCTGGCCAACGTGGTAAAACGCCGTATCTACTAAAATACAAAGATTAGCTGGGCGTAGTGGTGCATACCTGTAATCCCAGCTACTTGGGAGGCTGAGGCAGGAGAATTGTTTGAACCTGGAAGGCAGAGGTTGCAGTAAGATGAGCTGGTGCCACTGCACTCCAGCCTGGGTGACAGAACGAGACTCCATCTCAAATAGTAATAATAATAATTTCCAGTTCCCTGTTATTGCACGTGACAGGATCTTATTTTTTTATGACTGAATAGTACTCCATTTTATATATGTACCACGTTTTCTTTATCCATTCATCTGTTGATGGACACTTAGGTTGCTTCAAAATGTTGGCTATTGGGAACAGTGCTGCAACAAACATGGGAGTACAGATATCTCTTTGGTATACTGATTTATTTTTCTATGGGTGTATACCCAAGTAGTGGGATTGCTGGATCATATGGTAGCTCAATTTGTAGTTTTTTGAGGAACCTCCAAACTGTTCTCCTTAGCGGTTGTACTAACTTACATTCCCACCAACGGTGTACAAGGGTTCCCTTTTTTCCACATCCTCACCAGCATTTATTATTGCTTGTCTTTTGGATATAAGCCATTTTAGCTGGGGTGAGATGATAGATATCTCATTGCAGTTTTTATTTGCATTTCTCTGATGATCAGTGATGTTGAGTAGCTTTTTTATGCCTATTTGCCATTTGTATGTCTTCTTTTGAGAAACGTCTATTGAATTATTTTGTTTTTGTTTTTGTTTTTGTTTTGACTTTTTATTATATATTGACAAATTATAGTCATATATATTAAGAGGGTACAAGGTGTTACGATTTTTTAATACAATGTGGAATAATTAAACCAAACTAATTAACATATCCATCACTTCAAATGTATATTTCATTATCACTAAGAGAGTAAATTTCAAATGTTTTTGTTTTTTTTTATCAGGTTATTAGATTTTTTTCCTGTAGAGTTGTTTGAGCTCCTTTTATATTCTGGTTATTAACCCCTTGTCAGATGGATACTGTGCAAATATTTTCTCCTATTCTGTGGATTGACTCCTCACTTTGTTGATTGTATCCTCTGCTCTGCAGCAGCTTTTAAACTTGATGTGATCTCATTTGTCCATTTTTACTTTGGTTGCCTGTGCTTCTGGGGTGTTATTCAAGGAATTTTTTCCCAGACTAATGTCCTGGAGAGTTTCCCCAATATTTTCTTGTAGTTGTTTCATATTAATAGTTTGCAATCTTAGGCTGGACAATGTGTAGATTGCCTGTAATCCCAATGCTTTGGGAGGCCAAGGCGGGCAGATCACTCGAGGCCAGGAGTTTGAGACCAGCCTGGCCAACATGGTGAAACCCTGTCTTTACTAAAAATACAAAAATTAGCCAGGCGTGGTGGCGTGTGCCTGTAGTCCCAGCTACTTGGGAGGCTGAGGCAGGAGGATCGCTTGACCCAGGAAGTGGACGTTGCAGTGAGCCAAGATCATGCCACTGCACTCCAGCCTGGGCAACAGAGCAAGAATCTGTCTTTAAATATATATATTAATATATATTAAATATATATTAATATGTAAATATATAAATAAATATATATTAAACATATATATGGTTTACAGTCTTAGATTTAAGTCTTTAATCCATTTTGACTTGATTTTTCTATATGGCAAGAGATAGGGGTCTAGTTTTGTTCTGCCTATGGATATCCAGTTCTCCTGGCACCTTTTATTGAAGAGACTGTGTTTTCCCCAGTGTATGTTCTTGGCACCTTTGTCGAAAATGAGTTCACTGTAGCTGTATGGGTTTGTTTCTGAGTTCTCTCTCCTGTCCCATTGGTCTGTATGTCTGTTTTTATGCCAGTACCATGCTGTTTTGGTTACTGTAACTCTATAGTATAATTTGAAGTCAAGTAATATGATTCCTCCAGTTTTGTTCTTTTTGCTTAGGATCGCTTTGACTATTCTTGGTCTTTTGTGATTTCATATAAATTTTATTTTTTCTATTTCTGTGAAGTTGTCATTGGTATTTTGATAGGGATTGCACTGAATCTGTAGATTGCTTTGGATAGTATGGACATCTTAACAACATCGATTCTTCCAGTCCATGAACATGGAACATCTTTCCATTTTTTGATGTCCTCTTCAATTTCTTTCAGCAGTGTTTTATAGTTTTCATCATAGAGTTCTTTCACTTCTTTGGTTAAGTTAACCCTTTTCCCATTTGCCCTGAGAATACTTACCGGCAGTGCTTGTGGCTGCAGTGTTTACCCTGAGATAACTCTGCCGCAAAATATCTTGCTTTAATTATTATTTTCACATCCACTCTAGTATATCAACTTTGGAAACAAAATTGACATGTCAGATATCACTGGGTTCAAATGATCCACTACCACTACTGAAAACAGATGGCTGTAAATAGAATAATATACTAGATATCATTCCATTTGTATTTCTATTATAGTGGTATTTCCATTTATAAAATATAATAATTATTGATCACTGAAAATGTCAAATCCTAGAAAATGTAGCATTCCACGTGTAATGTTTACACCATTCTCGAACAGTTGTTGGCCAGAGATTCATTTGATGAATTCAATTTTTCTGAAATAGACAATTCTGATGATTCAGATGATTCTGATGTTCTGTTTAGTAATAACTCCAACAACAGTTTTTCTGTTTTATTTTAACATTGAAAATCAGATTTACTTCAGCCTCAAAGAGCATGATTATGTAAAGTTAAATGAGCATTGGCAGCAAGCTGCACTTCTTTTTTGTAAATGAGAAAAGAATTAAAGAGAAATATTGTTTAACATTTACACATTAGCCCCTAGTCATATTGTGTGAAAATTAGAAAAGGCAAAAGAATTGTTCCATAAGTTTTTGTAAATGAGAAAAGAATTAAAGAGAAATATTGTTTAACATTTACACATTAGCCCCTAGTCATATTAGGTGAAAATTAGAAAAGGCAAAAGAATTGTTCCATAAGTAAAATAAAACTGAAAGTTGATTTTCTTTTCTTTCTTTTCCTTTTTTTTTTTTCTTTTTTTTTTTTGAGACAGAGTCTCAGTTTTTCGCCCCAGTCTGGGTGTGCAGTGGCGTGATCTTGGCTCACTGCAAGCTTTGCCGCCGGGTTCAAGCCGATTCTGCTGCCTCAGCCTCCCAAGTAGCTGGGATTACAGGTGCCTGCCACCATGCCTGGTTAATTTTTTTTGTAGTTTTTAGTAGAGACAGGGCTTCATCATCTTGGCCAGGCTGGTCTTGAACTCCTGACCTCGTGATCCACCTGCCTCGGCCTCCCAAAGTGCTGGAATTATAGGCGTGAGCCACAGCACCCGACCGAAAGTTGATTTTCTTATCATTCACTAAGTAAGTTTCCCTAGAACAAGCTTGTCCAGTCTGTGGGCCACATGCGGCCCAACACAAATTTGTAAACGTCCTTAAAACATTATGAGGGGTTTTTTTTTGCTTTTTTTTTTTTTTTTTTTTGCAGCTCATCAGTTTTCATTTGTATTAGTGTATTTTGTGTGTGGCCCAGGACAGCTCTTCTTCCAGTGCGGCCCTGGGAAGCCAAAAGATTGGACACCCCTGCCCTAGAGCTTCCTTTGCTGTTGGACACATGCTTTCCTACATCCCTATCTCTATATTTCTTAGCCATTTTTAGTCCAGGGATTCAAAGAGCCTCACGTCATGGCAATCCATACTTGAGCATTTGGGGATTAGTATTTGTAGTTCACTTTAATAACTGCTGTGCTAATGTAGAACATGATATGTGGGATTAGTGGAGAGAGCTATGAATCTAGGGCTTGGGATCAGATTTTTTTTTCTCATTATTCAAATAAGAAATCCATGTTGATTGAGTTACATAATATAAGGCTGTGTAGTTACCTGTGCGTGAATAAAGTACTTTCAAGTGAGGCTATCACAGTGAAGTCATCAGATGTTTAAGTTAATATTTATCAATAATACTACAAGGCCACTTTTAGGGGTTTTAAAGTTCAATAAATAACTAAGCCAGGCACAGTGGTTTATGCCTGTAATCCCAGCTCTTTGGGAGACTGAAGCAGGAAGATCACTTGAGCCCAGGAAATCAACACCAGCCTGGGCAATGTAGTGAGACCATTTTCTCAAAAAAAATTAAAAATTAGCCAGGCATGGTGGCACACATCTGTAGTCCCAGCTACTTGAGAGGCTATAGTGGGAGGAGTGCTTGAGCCCAGGAGGTTGAGACTGCAGTGAGCTGTGATTGTGCCACTGCACTTCAGCCTGGGCAACAGAGCAAGACCCTGTCTCAAAAAAAAAAAAATGGGTGATTTTCTTGTCAATAGTAAGACAGTGTTTCTAACAGTAAACCCTTCAGTGTGATGGCTTTAAAGGAATTCATTATTCCATACATTTGAATTGCATAATTATGTGAAGGAGTTACTCTATTACATTGTAATGGAGCAAATTAAAGGGGAAGGCAGATTCCTGAAGATTAAGAAATGGCGATGAAAATTGTTGAAAAGTTTAGATTTATCAATAATGTATAACCCTTCCTTTTCACTCTCTGAAAGTGTAGACTTCCCTGGTTATTTATTATATTCAACCTGCTCATTTTACTCTCCTTTTATTTTTCTGCAGTAATGTGTGTGGCTGGTATTGGACTCGTTGTATTATTCTTCAGTTGGATGCTCTCTATTTTTAGATCTAAATATCATGGCTACCCATACAGGTATGATTCTTCTTTTTTATTTATATAGTGATTACCAATACTTGGAATGATTAGAGTTGATATTGCTTTATAATATTGTTCTTTTTGCTTTGCTTCCAAACTATTTTATCTTCTATTCATCTATTTTTTTATTTATTATTTATTTATTTTTGAGATGGAGTTTTGTTCTTGTTGCCCAGACTGGAGTGCAGTGGCGCAATCTCGACTCACTACAACCTCTGCTTCCCGGGTTCAGGCGATTCTCCTGCCTCAGCCTACCAAGTAGCTGAGATTACAGACGTGTGCCACCATACCTGGCTAATTTTGTATTTTTAGTATCAACAGGGTTTCACCATGTTGATCAGGTCTCGAACTCCTGACCTCAAGTGATCCACCTGCCTCATCCTCCCAAAGTGCTGGGATTATAGGCGTGAGCCACTGAGCCCGGCCTATTCATTTATTTTCAGAGACAGGGTCTCACTCTGTCACTCAGGCCAAAGTGTAATGGTGTGTTCATAGCTCATTGTAACCTTGAACTCCTGAGCTCAAGCCATCATTTCACCTCAGCTTCCCAGGAGGCTAGGACTACAGTTGCACATGACTACACCCAGCTAATATTTTTATTTTTTGTAAAGACAGGGTCTTGCTATGTTATCCAGGCTGGTCTTGAACTTCTGGCCTCAAGCGGTTCTCCTTCTCAGCCTCCCAGAGGGCTGGGATTATAGGCATTAGCCAGCCACCATGCCCAGACAGCTGTAATTCAGATATGTTCCATATAAAAATTAATTATAGTATAATGGACAATATTAGTATGTGATTTCTCAGGAACATCTTTTAGGTTTATTTTGCCATACCTAGTTTATTCTAGATATCTCTATAATACATAATGATTAGAACATTTTATGCCATTATCTATTCACATAGCTCCTTGTCTGCATACTATACTTCCTTTTGAAGAAGAAATGATTTTTTTTAATGTTTTTAAAAACTTCTCACCTCTACTTTTTTTAAGAAATAGAGTGCCACTGCACTCCAGTCTGAGTAACAGAGTGAGACCCCATCTCAAAAATAATAATTATAATAATTTATCCTCTACAGAACACTAATTGGGATGTGAGGGTAATTTTGCTGGGACTTCTGTTAATTATTTGATCAGCAGAGTTGATTCAGTAGCAGTGTTGTGTGCCTGTAGTCCCAGCTACTCAGAAGGCTAAGGCAGGATGATCACTTGAGCCTGGGAGTCCCAGACCAGACTAGACAACATAGTGAGACCCCATCACTAAAAAAAAACGAAAAAATAAAATTATTAGTTAGTGTCTCTTTTCGGGAGATAGTTTAGCTTGAGGGTTGTTCTATTTCGTTTTGTCATAAGACTAATGGGTCTCTCAGTGTTTCTCACTTTTTGTTATTGATACCCAAAGATTATCACGTACGTACCAAAATGCTCTTTGATCTGATAAAACCAACATACTGCTTATTGATTAAAAGTAAAGCCTACTTTTCTTTCAGAGACTAATAGATTGGTATATATTTTTGTTTCAGCTTTCTGATGAGTTAAAAAGGTCCCAGAGATATGTTGACACTGGAGTACTGGAAATTGAAAAATGAAAACTGTGTGTGTTTGAAAAGAAGAATGCAACTTGTGTATTTTGTATTACCTCTTTTTTTCAAGTGATTTAAATAGTTAATCATTTAACCAAAGAAGATGTGTAGTGCCTTAACAAACAATTCTCTGTCAAAATCATGAGGTATTTGAAAATGATTATCCTCTTAACCTTCTCTTCCCAGTGAACTTTATGGAACATTTAATTTAGTAGAATTAAGTATATTATAAAAATTGTAAAACTACTACTTTGTTTTAGTTAGCACAAAGCTCAAAACTACTTCAGTTAACTTGGTCATCTGATTTTATATTGCCTTATCCAAAGATGGGGAAAGTAAGTCCTGACCAGGTGTTCCCACATATGCCTGTTACAGGTAACTACATCAGGAATTCATTCTTAGCTTTTCCATCTTTGCGTGGATGTGTATACTTTACGCATCTTTCCTTTTGGGTAGAGAAATTATATGTGCCATGTGGTCTTCTGAAAACGGAACACCATTCTTTAGAGCACACGTCTAGCCCTCAAAAAGACAGTCATTTCTCCTCCTCCTTGCCTATTTCCTACTGAAATACAGTGCTGCCTGTGATTTTTTGTTTTGTTGTTTTTTTGAGACAGGGTCTCGCTGTGTCACACAGGTTGAAGTGCAGTGGCGTGAGCTCGGCTGACTGCAAACTCTGCCTCCCAGGTTTAAGCGATTCTTCTGCCTCAGCTTCCCAAGTAGCTGGGATTTACAGGTGTGCACCACCATGTCAGGCTAATTTTTGGATTTTTAGTAGAGACAGGGTTTTGCTAAGTTGTTCAGGCTGGTCTTGAACTCCTGGGCTCAAGTGATCTGCCCACCTCAGTCTCCCAAAGTGCGAGGATGACATGTGTGAGCTACCACACCAGCAATGTCTATACTTCTCGATAGCTGTAAACATGAAAAAGGACATCTATTGGGAGGCCAAGGCAGGTGGATTGCTTGAGGCCAGGAGTTAGAGACCAGCCTGGCCAACAAGGCAAAACCCCGTCTCTACTAAAAATATGAAAATTAGCTGGACTTGGTGGCTCATGCCTGTAATCCTAGCTACTTGGGAGCTGAGGCACGAGACTTGCTTAAACCTGGGAGGCAGAGATTGCAGTGAGCCAAGATCATGCTACTGCACTCCAGCCTGAGTGACAGAGTGAGATTCTGTCTCAAAAAAAAAAAAAGTATCTCTAAATACAGGATTATGATTTCTGCTTGAGTATGGTGTTAACTACCTTGTATTTAGAAAGATTTCAGATTCATTCCATCTCCTTAGTTTTCTTTTAAGGTGACCCATCTGTGATAAAAATATAACTTAGTGCTAAAATCAGTGTGATTTATACATGGTCTAAAATGTTTCTGCAAATTAGAGTTTGTCACTTATTCCATTTGTACCTAAGAGAAAAATAGACTCAGTTAGAAAAGGACTCCCTGGCCAGGTGTGGTGGCTTACGCCTGTAATCTCAGCACTTTGGGAGGCTGAGGCAGGCGGATCATGAGGTCAGGAGTTCAAGACTATCCTGCCCAACATGGTGAAACCCCATCTCTACTAAAAGTACAAAACTTAGCTGGGTGTGGTGGTGGGCGCCTGTAATCCCAGCTACACGGGAGGCTGAGGCACAAGAATCACTTGAACTCAGGAGATGGAGGTTGCAGTGAGCCAAGATCACACCACTGCACTCCAGCCTGGCAATAGAGCGAAACTCCATCTCAAAAAAAAAGAAAGAAAAGGACTCCCTTAGAATGGGAAAGGAAAATCATAAAATACTGAGGTGTTGCCTGTATATAGAAATTAAGCGTTTCTCGAAAGCTGTTCTGTGTTTTGCTGTTATTTTGTCTTTATTCTCTTCCTTTAGGTGGAGAAACAACGTACAAATTTGAAGGGATTTTTTTTTTGTCTTTTTTTTTTTTTTTTTTTTT